GCTTGCTGCTTCAATTCGGGAGACCTTTTCGTCTATGGCGGCGTTCGCTAGGGCTTGACATCGAGAGCGAATTTCGTGGAGAAGCCGATTGCGACGGGCTCGTAAAGCTGCTGTGTTCGTGGACCGATCGTTGTAAATTTGGAGCCGCAACGTGCGCTGCTGTTCCGACAGCTTCGCGAGCACGGCATCGTTGTATCTGCGTGTGCGACGGGGGTCTGAAGTTGTGTAGCCTATGGTCTCAGTTGCTGCGTCTTGTACTCGTTGAAGCGTGCCATTCTATTGATCCGAAGTAGCCGTGTCATCGTCGTCGTCGGTAGCCTGAAGATGTCGTTTGAGAGCTGCAGAGTAGGCTGACCGTGTGTCATCGTCGTGAATGAGTTGGTTGCGGTTGAGCTGTAGGTGGCCTTGTCGTGTTGGGCGTGCTCGGTATCGGAGGCGGCCCGGGTTGCGAAGGAAAAAATCTTCCGTTACGAGCTTGTGGTCAGAGGCGGTTAGCGTTCCGCCCCAGGATTGAGCATCTTGGCAGAGTCGGCGGCAATTCTGGGGGCAGAGAACGTAGTCAATGTGATTGTAGACGATGTGCTCGTTACGACGTTGTGTCCAGGTCGTTTTGTTCCTTGCTCGTTTTTTGAAGGCCGTGTTCGCTGCGAAAAACTGAAAGGCGTCACAGAAAGCCGCCAGGGCGTGGCCGTTCCTGTTGCGGCGTCCTCGAGCGTGAACCCCGAGAAAGGTTTCGCCCGTAACGCGGTTCCCGAGCTTGGCGTTGAAGTCACCGGTGATAAATGTGATGTCCCGCCTGTTGAATGTGCTGACAATTGTGCTGAGATCTGCATAGAAAGTGTCAACTTCAGTTAGTGTTCGTCCGCTCGGTGTGTGTGTCTTAATGAGATCGACCAGGGCGGGGTCTCTGCAGATGAAGTCTGCATCATCCGCGTAGACTATCATTTGTTAGAGCAAATCCGGCGGCATGGCTGGATGACGAGCGAGGTCGCGTAGTGCTGCTTCGAGATAGACGACGAACAAAACGGGTGATAATGAGTCGCAGTCCTCGAACGCTGGTCACTCCAAATGAGCGCGATCATGACAGAACTCACAACGCTCCAACGCTGTGTGACTCTTGCGAGTACTGACCCTAAAGCCCGTGCCAAAGAAGAACACTGGAGATCGACCCGTAAACTTGGATCCCTGCTCGGCGACGCGGAGGATGTATCGCGGCGGAAAACCCTTGCAACTGGTGCTCTTCGCCGGCTCTGGACAGTCTGGCTCCGGCCACATCACATCACGGACAAGACGAGAATACCGTTGTACAATTGCTACGTGCTCCCGATCCTCCTCTCCTGTACAACTGCGGGACTTGGGCGCTCACCCCGACGGAACTACGCAATCCGGAAAGCTTCCATCGTTGTCAGCTCCGCGCCATCCTCAATGTCCACTACCCGAGACGCATCTCGAACGCCAATCTGTATGAAGCCTGCAATGAACGCCTACTACGCCACCGGATCACCAAGGCGAGATGGAGCCTCTTCGGCCATATCCTCCGCCGACCCCGTGACATCCCCTCTTTCAGCCAAATGAAGGCCTACTTCGCCCCCTCGGACTCTGGCAAATGGCGCGGCCGACGTCGCACCACGTTGCCGGTCGTCCTTGATCATGACCTCGTTGCCAGAGGATGCGGACTCCGACTTCAGACGGACAGGGACCTGGAAAAGCTTCGAACACTCGCCCAGGACAGACGGAAACCTCATGACTAGACTTGCCGAATCGCTACCAGGTAAAGGAGACTCGACGTATGCGGACACCACTCTATGCCGCCGACTAGCTACACTGAACTTGCTAGCGCAGGTATAATTGGCCACGCGAACACGTAAATCATTACATTACATAGGAGAGCGCGTGAAGCGTACCATCGTTGCCAGGTCGTTTATTCTGCAAGCAGGCTCTTGAATGTGATGAGCGAAACAAAGAATACCACCCGACGCGCTGTAATTACTTCTATTAATGCCTGAAACAACCAGAGCTCAACTCTATATGTACTATGTACTCTTTATCCTCATGGTGAAAAACGTCCAAATCAATGGTGATTCAATCTAATTAGATGGTGAGTGATTCCATCCGATGCTATGGTGATGGATTCCAATTCTTTGGTGATCGTGTCAACATGAGTGGTGTTTGGTTACCTCACTCATGCTAATCTTCCCTACATAACTGAATCGACGCAGCGCAACAGGCAACATATAGAACTTTATGTTCCAATTATACAGCCAGTCCCCATCGCTTACACACACCAAACCTCATCGTACTTTAGTGACGCCATTTACAAATCTCTAGATATTAATATATTTATGGGACAGGGTAAAAATATACCCTCGTGAATAGGCCCGGGAACTAAGGGTTAAGGGACGGTTTCTAGACACCGATTGGTGGAATCGACGCGGTCTTTTCAACGTAAAAAGCTCTTCAAACGCGGAAGTTATGGCAGAAAGAGTGCTCTCCACCAGGTCGCCATTGCACATATTTCAGCATCTCTACATCAGTCACTCGCCATTTCCGGTACGCATGGCCACCTCCACGACCGTTTCCAATCCAAACTCTCAGACTCTGGAAGCAGGCGTGGGAAGGCGTCATGGTCTTCATGTGGTACGTCATGTCAGGGGCGATCCGGACTGGTGCCGGTTTATCCGAGCTTCAGAGCGCTTCAAAGTTGACAAGAGCACCATCAGCCACAACCACAACAGCTAGATACTCTTAACGCCGGGTTAGATAAAGGCTTATACATTATTCCTTATATATTGACATTCTTTTATTATTGGGCAGCCAAATTCTCAAACTGCGGGTGATCTGTCAAGTCCCCTACGACGCAGTCTTGAGTAAGCAGGGCGTTATCGAGTACATTTGACGCATCAATCGTATCCCTCAACAACTGAAGCAACGATCCAACTACGTCAATGCAGAC